AATCCCCCCCCCCCCCCCCCCCGGGGCCCCTTCCTCTAACTTTTATTTCTCAATGTCAGTTCAATAGAATTCTTCACAAAACGTAATTTTCAATCTCTGAACATTTCACCGCACCGTTGGTTGGCTTTTTCCTTTGTCGATAATCCTCCAAGATTCAAATTTGAAACGGCCCTTATAACCAGACAATAATTTTCTTCCATAATAATAATGGTCCCAGTCTCTGCATGCATTCACGTGTTCTGCTTAATTTATATTACACAAAAAATATCGCCATCGCCATCAGCTTCTGCATATCTCAGCATAGGATTCTAATTTTTTTTAAATGCATTAAATTTGGAGTATATACTATCAATTTCTGCACAACCCACGTGTTTATGATCCATGGAACCCACCTTCAATGTCTACTCGTCAATGTGCCACTGTACCATCACTGCAGAACAAGACAAAACTCCTTCATTAAGAGGGTGAAATTAAAGAGTTCTTCTTTTGTAAATTTGTTCGATATTTTTGTTGTGAATTTACAGTGAAAAGATAACCATGTTTGATGGTATGCAGTCTGGCGATCAATTTCATCAATTCATAGCTTCATCAAGAACTTCATTTCCTATTCCTCTTTCTTTTCCACTTAATGGATCAGACGCATCTGTAATTCACAGTTTTGATCCTTTCACTTCTCATCAATTACACCTTCAGTTAGAGTCCTCTATTAATAACAGGGTTGAACAGGATTATGAAGAACCAGCCAGTTTAATCTCAACTAAATTAGTGCTCGAAAGAGAGAGATCTATGCCGGAAACGACGATGACAACCGATCTGGGCTGGTCGCATAATGAAGTTCTTGCTTTGCTCAGAATTGGATCCAGCATTGGGAATTGGTTCTCAGATTTCACTTGGGAACACGTTTCAAGGTACATACGATACATATTTTGATGTTTTTTTTTTATTATTAATTTGTTGAGATTCACGTGTACTGTAAACGAAAATCGAGAATGCACGTATGCTTTACTTTTTCGAATCTTGTTTTCAGCAATTTCTTCTTGTTTTAAGCTGTTTTTGCTACAAAACTTTTGTTGGTATATTTGCGCAGTAATTGTTATGGTTTTCATAAATTATAAATCAGTGCAGGAAACTTGCAGAGCTTGGGTTTAAAAGAAGTGCTGATAAATGCAAGGAGAAATTTGAAGAAGAAAGCAGAAATTTCAACAGTATAAGCTACAACAAGAATTACAGGATTTTCTCTGAACACGACGATGAATTTTATCCGGATGATCAAGATCAAGAACCCCATATTTCTGCAGAAAAGAATCAACAAAATCAAGAAGAAGAAGAAGATATAGGAGAGAGGAATATTGTGGAAGGAGAATCAGAAAGAACTGTAGCTGCATCTCAAGAAAATGAAGGACAAGTTGCTATGAAACCAAGAGAAAACAAGAAGAGAAAAAGAAGGGAAGACAAGTTTGAAATGTTCAAGGGTTTTTGTGAAGCAATTGTGAACAAGATAATGGTTCAACAGGAAGAGTTGCACAATAAGCTGCTAGAAGACATGTTGATGAGGGATGAGCAAAAAATTGCAAGGGAAGAAGCTTGGAGGAATCGACATATGGAGATGATTAAGAAGGAAATTGAAATAAGGGCAGAAGAAAATGCCACTGCTAGGGAGAGACAGGCCACTATTATTAAGTTTTTGAAGAAATTTACATCAGATTCTTGTGAAGAAGATCAGGAATTTGTAACGAAAATTCAAGATCTTCTCAAGCTCAACATGACTTTACCTTGTACAATTCACTTTCATGATCAAACTACAACTACCCAAGAAAAAGTAGAAGCAGCTACTTCGTCAAGCATGGATTTTATTCACCAAAAACCTAGTTCAAAGCCCTGCTCCTCATCTGTACAGCTCCAAAACCCTAATCCTGCAAAACCCAACGAGAATAATCAGTTAGAATTGACACCATCTTCGAGGAAAAGGAATTCCAAGAATTTGCATTGTGAAAGTGGAGATAGTGGCAACAGATGGGCTAGAGATGAAGTGTTAGCTCTGATAAACCTTAGGTGCAAACTGAATAATAATGATGAAATTAAGGATGGAGAAAAGGGTCCATTATGGGAAAGAATTTCACAGGGGATGCTTGAATTGGGATACGGAAGGAATGCCAAAAGATGCAAAGAGAAATGGGAGAATACAAATAAGTATTTCAGAAAGACTAAAGACAGTAGCAAGAAGAGGTCTCTTGATTCAAGAACATGTCCTTATTTTCAACAGTTGAGCGGTTTATACAGTCAAGGAAAGCTCGTCGTCCCAAATAATGAGCCGGAAAACCAATAGAGATGGGGGAAAAGGGGCCAACGGCAGATAACGTTCTTTCAATTTTGAATTTTATTTTTACTTTGTGTGGGTGAAATAATTCAGTAGGCCTTTGTATTTTTGTTTATGAAGTTAACATTCTGAAAAATGAGAAGTCAGTTCCATCTGCCATCTCTAGAAAGATTGATTCTTTGAGATCCTTCATTTCTTCAAATTGAGTCAAGAGATAGAATCAGGAGAATTTCCACAATGCCTCTGGGTATTCCTCAATATTTCGACTATATATTCAAGGGATGCGAGATGCAGATGATAAATTTTTGGGAAGAAATCAAGAAAAATCTGAAGAACTATCTTCCTTTTGCTGGTACTTAAAAGAATGATTTGAGTGTTTAGCTGAACCACAAATAGGGAGGCTTTGTGAATAATAGTTGTGCTATGTGTACAATCAGGGTTGACAACACCGATTGACAATTAGACACATGGAAGGGGGCACACGCTGAATAAAAAAATCGTGAGTCCCCCCTCCCACGAATACATTGTCAACCAGGGTTGTTGTACAAGAAGAATAATTCTTGTGTATACCGACATCAATATGCACAAAGGTGAGCTGGAAAAGTACATTTGCAATGACAACAGTTGCAGCAAATTGACGGATTCCCTTTTTAAACAAACTAGTCGCTATTACGTGCGTTGCGCGAATTTTATATTTATCATATTTTTATTAACGTATGAATTTTAGTTTTTTTGGAAAGTTTTTGAAGCAATATCTAAAAATATTTCTATGATATAAGAAAATAATTGTAAATTATTTTTACAATTACATAACAGTATGTTATCTAAAAAAAATATACTTGTATATTTCATGCTTGAATAAGAAATATACAAACTATTTTGCTTGTATTTTTTCTAGTATTGATATTGAATGTGAAGATTATATTTATAAATTTTCTATAATTCAATGTTATAAAATTGAAAAAAAAATTCTTCGTACAGTGTGGAGTGAAAATAAAAAAATGTGAGGAGAGGGAAAATCATGTTCGGAGAGTTGGCAAACTCTTCGTACAGTGCGGAGTAAAAAAAAAACTCTCTGCAAAGTGTGGAGAGGTGACAAACTAACTCTCCGCACAATACGGAGAGCAAAAAAAAACTCTCAGCACTGTGCGGAGAGAGTTAATCTCTTCGCAGAGTGCGGAGAGTTGGTCCACACCATGGCAAAACTCTCCGCACAGTACGTAGAGAGTTGAACCATGTGCGGAGAGAAAAAAATCTCTCCGCATAGTATGGAGAGAGTTGAAAAAACTCTCTGCACAGTGCGGAGAGATGACAAACCAGCTCTTCACACAGTGTAGAGAGTTGTTTTCAAATTCCTTAATTACAAGTCAAATTTCAAGATTGTAAATTTTTCGTATATACAACGAAACAGAATCGAAAAACATTGCTCAAAATCAATTATGTCTTCTTTAAATTCCAGTCACAGCTCAATTTCTAAGCATATAAATCATATTTATGGTATTGGAAAGGAGCTTTCTCGTGATTCATACGATGAAACAATATGTGAATTGTGCAAAGAAGGAGATATTGATAGTACCACGACATTACTTTCACAAATAGACGCTTTAGGGTACCATCCAAATTCAATATTTTACACTTGCTTGATAACAGCTCTTGAACATTAGAAGCGGATACAATTTTTCAATGAAATTATACTTTCGGGTTGCAGCCCAGGAATTAAAGTGTTCAATGTATTACTCAAAAGTTGTTTGAGAAAAGGCCTCTTGGAACTTGCAGATAAAGTCCCGAGAGTTTTTATTTTTCTCTTCATACTGTGCGGAGAGATAGTTTGTCATCTCTCTGCACTTTACGTAGTCTTTTTTTTTGCTCATGTACGGAGATTTTTTTTGTCTCATGGAGTTTATATATACTAAAATTATTATTATTATTTTTAATGTTGTTAACATGATACATGTGTGGAAGAATATTTGTCAATCATCATAAACAAAATTTTTCACAAAATACAAAAAATAAAAATACATAATAAATCTTCTTGTTATGCTAATAAAATTACAATAATTTTTTTTTAACAAATAACATAAAAAAATATTTTTTCTTCACAAAAAACACATTTAAAAATTAGCAATTTTATAACCACTTTTTTTTTTTGGATTTTCGAAAATAAAATTATAAAAAAAGGAAACAATATTGAATTACAACATTTAATATTTGAGAAATTCAATATTAAATAAATTTTATACATTTATAACAAATTATAAATCCATATATGTAGTTTACCGTATATACAGCTTACCATATATACTATCTACCTTATTTCTAGCCTATTGTATTTACAAACAACTTATCATATTTGCACATTACCGTATATGCTGCCTACCGTATTTGTAACTTACCGTATTTGTAACCTACCGTATTTGCAAACAACTTACCATATTTTCACCTTACCGTATATGTTGCCTACCGTATTTGCAGCTTACTGTATTTTTATATATCGATTTTTGCACTTACAAATATCAAAAATGCAGAATATCGTACATTCAATTACCAAACCAAATTTCAAAAATACTTCCATATTTTTATTTTTTCAACATAAGTATAAAATAAATATTAAATATATATGAGACACAAAATATAAATACGTATGAATATGGTGCTTAATCTTCAATTTTTCAATATTGAATTACACAAAATTTAGAAATATAATCTTCACATTCAACTCAATTATATCAACACTATCAAAGAATACAAGCAAAATAATTTGAATAATATCGTATATTTTTTTATTTAAGTATGAAATATACAAGTATATTTTTTCTAGATGATACAATACTGTTATGCAATTGTAAAAATAGTTTACAATTATTTTTTTATATCATGAAAATATTTTTAGATATTGCTTCAAAAACTTTCCAAAAAACTAAAATTCATATACTAATAAAAATACAATAAATGCAAAATTCGTGCAACGCACGTGACAATCACTGTGCGGAGAGGTTTTTTTTTTACTTCACACTGTACGGAGAGTTTGCCAACTCTCCACACTGTGCAAATTTTTTTTTCTTTTTTTACTCCACATTGTACGAAAAGTTAGCACTTTGTGAGGACAATGTCTGCACATAATGTCATCTCTCTGTACTGTGCGGAGATATTTTTTTTACTTCACACTGTACGAAGAGTTTTTTAAAGCTCATGTGCGAAGAATTTTTTTTTTTTTTTTACTCATAACAGTTTATATTTACTAAAATTATTATTTTTTTTAATGCTAGTGGCATGATGTGTGGAAGAATATTTGTTTGACATAATTATTTTTTTAATGCTAGTGGGATGATGTGTGGAAGAACATTTGTTTAACATAAACAAAATAAAAAATAAAAAATGACATCATGCATAGTAAAATTGGATTCATTTACTATTGCATGAATAATAGACCATCATTCCCCTTTCTATTAGATGTTAGATAACATTCTATAGTATAAAAAGAAATATTCATAACTTCACTATTGGTACATACATGTTCTAGTTTGATCCAAATTTTAGTGGGTATTAATTTTTTGTTGAAGTGATTTTGAAGAGATCAAAATTATAGATTGGGAAGAAAAGTCGCTAGCTCACCGCCGGAGCAACTCCTACATATTTTCTCCAGAGATTTGTCGCTAGGGTATTAAAAAAAAAAAAAAAAAAGTCAAACTTGATACCCGCGGGCTCTTTCCAGAATGGGACGAAAATTACTCGCTTAATCGAGTATTTGGGTCGGGGATGGAGCAAGTACGGGTAATAAGGGCCCCACCCCATTTAACCTTTTTTTTTTAATATAAGAATTCAATACTTTAAATGAAAAATTTAACGCAATTTCATTAGTTCTAATAGGGATTGGCAACTAAGATTATCTAAGGGAGATGAGGAAAAATAAAAGTCTTAGTTTATTAAATATATTTGAATAACTTAACTTTTCAAAATAAATAAATTAATTAAAAATCTCAATAAATATATTATTGTCTTTCTTTAATGAATGGAAACAATAAAATGAATTATAAATTTAAAAAAAAAAGAAGTTAAATGGGTACTAAAATGGACAAGGCTAGCACCACCCTGACTTAAACAGGTAACGGGGCGGGAAACTACCCAATGGGGTAGGAGCGGGAGAGGTTGCCCCTACTCGGACCTGCACTGCCGTCGTTCCTACTTGTTGCTCGCTTTGTGCTTGAGTGGTGGAGCTATCGCTCGTCTACCACTAGCCTATCTCTCGAGTGATAGAGCTATCCAACTCAGGCCCATTTCGCATTTTGACACTTTTTGGACTCTTATTCAATTATAACTTGATTTCTAGGGTTATGTGTGTGTGTGTCACGGCTTGTATTGTTTTTATAACATTCACATAACATCTTGAGATTTTTATATCTTAATTGAGAGGATTGAAATCTTGTTGTAAATACAATTACTATTGATTATAGTGAATTATTCCTCCCCTACTTGTGGTTTTTTCTCATCTTGAGTTTCTACATAAATTTTGGTGTTCTTAGTTTGTTCTTGTATATTTCATTATTGTCATTATCTTGCACTCAATTCATAACAATTGGTATTAGAGCAAGATTGATTATTTTGCATGGCAACGATGAAATATGATATTTCATTATTGGATCGAAACATAAGATTTACTTTATATCAAATGAAGATATGAGCAATTCTTGCACAAATGGATTTGGAGGAAGTCTTGCTTGGTTTTGATAAGATACATTCTACCTAGAAGCGGGATGAAAAGCAGCATAGGGATCAAAAAACCCAATCTCAAATTCATCTACATCTATCAAATCAAATTCTTCATATGTTCTAAAGGAGAAAAATGCTGCTGCATTGTGGTTGAAGTTGGAGCAACCTTGTATGACAAAGAACTTGACCAGTAAATTACACTTGAAACATTATTTTTTATTCTTACCAGATGTCCGAAGGTGTGTCATTGGATAATCACTTGACTATGTTCAAATAAATCGTAATTGATTTGAGACATTGGAAGTTAAAGATGACAATGATGACTTGGTTTGATGTTGTCATGTTCGTTGCTACCATCGTATGTGACTTTTAGAAATATTATTATATAGTCGGAATACTCTCATCGTGGAAGAGGTCTATGATACATTACTATATAAGGAGAAGATTAGGCATCTTGTTGGGGGATCTGCGAGTCAGACTGAAGGCTTGGTTATTTGTGCGAGAAATCAAGATAGGAATCTTGGTAGAAATATGAGGGGCTGATCAAAATATAGACATATAGAAAAAATATGCCATTAGTGTAAGAAGTATGAGCATATCAGAGCTGATTGCTATTCATTGAAAAACAGAAATAAAATTG